AGCTCCCTGCACTCCCTGTCTCACGCACTAGGGCATGTGCACCCCCTTCTGGCCCTGCGTGGGCTCAGGCTGTGGCTCCCAGCTCCGCAGAGGCCACATCCACAGGGAGCTCTGATCACAGGTCTCAGGCCTCAGCCTCTGCTCCTCCCCACAAGGGCCTACAAGCACTGCCTCCTTGTCCCCAGATAGGACTCAGGGAGGCCCCACTCTTGACCAGGGTTTCCTTGGCCAGAGACTCGAATCCCGTCCTTGCCTGGGCCACAGACAAGGAACCCCGTTCTGGTACTGACAGTTCCCTTGGGGCTTCCACAGTCCTGGCTGGAGCCCCCTGTTTAGGCCAGACACACCATCTGCAGAGCAGTCCAGGACACGGGGATGAGGACCCGGTCTCAGCCTCAAGCACTAGCCCCCATTTCCACCGCCCTCACCACCAGCCTGCTCATGCACGCCATCGCCTGCACCAGGCCTTCCTGCATCTATCAGCAGACTGCACTCCATTGTGAGGTCACTCAACCATGGATTTGCTCACAGCAACCATCTAGGCCTTCTCTGTGGGCGATGGGCTGTCTCCCCACCCCTCTGCACCACACACCACACAGCCCACCGCGGGTCCACCTCAGCACTGCGGGCCACAGCGATGCTCCAACCTTCCTGGGACCCCACCGGCCGCCCTGCTCCGTCATTCTCAGCTGCCAGGAATCCCCGTGACGTTCACCCTGGCTCCCTCTGTGCGTGCAGTCGCCCCTGCTCAGGACCCCCCCAGGTGCTAGCACCTGCAGCTGGTGCTTTCCAGGAGTTTTAGAGGAACAGGAAATGAAGAGTGCAAGGCCCACTGCTTCTAGCATGCCGCCACTGTGACCCCTTTCTCTCCAGGGTTCCTGCCAGTGTGGACTGCAGGACAGGGCTCATGTGGTTCCCTCTCCCTCCTGCTCTAAGTCCCCAGCATACCCCACCTGCAGGGAGCATTCCCAGCTCAATGCACAGGTCGTCTCGCACTGCCAAGGCCTCATGCCCCTGCTGTTTGGGATGGAGAGCGCTGCCTTTACCATGCTCTCAGTTCTGAGCTGACCAGGGCTCTACCTGGGTCCCTGCCCTTGGTGCTCTTCTGAAACCTTGTTTCTTCCTGGCTTCCTTGCCCTGAGCTTGCCCAAGCTACCCACGATCCTGGTTGACCACCTCAGACCCCGGGCCTTTTCCCAACACAGGGGACTTCATCCTTGTGCCCTGCATGCTGATGGCCTCCCACAACACCACTGGACCTGGGACATCTCAGCATAGCCACAGCGCCCCCCCACGCCAGGGCTTGGGAGCATCTGCACTCAGATTCCCCAAGCCCTCCAAAACCACAAGTTGTTTTGTCTGTCATGGGTAGGCACTGCCACGCACAGGATTGCTGAAAGCAGAGAACTAAGGATGCCCACGGGGTGTCCTCAGCACTGCATGAGTGCCCCTAGAACATTCTGGAAAAGGCCAGTCAACACTGCCACACAGGGGCAGGAACAATAGCTCAGTTGGCTTATCCTCCCTCCTTAAGCGCTAAGATCTCACAGAGCGCTGGTTCATGCCCCACCTGCTCCAACTTCCCATCCAGCTCCCTGCCTGTGGCCTGGGAAAGCAGTGGAGGACGGCCCAAAGCCTTGGGACCCTGCACCCACGTGGGAAACCTGGAAGAAGCTCCTGGCTCCTGGCTTTGGATCAGCTCATCTCTGGCTGCCGGGCTGTGTGGAGAGGGAAGCAGTGGATGGAAGTTTTGCCTCTCCTCTCTCTGCAGATCTGTCTTGGCAACAAAAATAAACAAGCTCCCCCACCTTCTTTTTCTACTTTCCACGCAGCCAGAGGCATGTGGAAAGTCTCTTGTGAGGCCTTCCTGCCTGGTAGATCCTCCAAATGGGTCGTGAGCAGAGGTTGTGTCTGTGCTGGTCTCACTACACACTGTGAGGAGGGGACCGTGGGTGTCCCCCACCTTGAAAATGACACTGTCATGTGCTGTGAAAGTCCCTGGGAACTAAACCCTCAACTTAAGTGCAGGAATCCCACTTGAGCGCTGGTTCGGGTCCTGCCTGCTCCACTTCCTATCCAGCATCCTACTTGTTGCCTGGGAAAGCAGTACAGGGTGGTCCAAAGCCTTGGGACCAGAGGAGCACAATGTCATTCAGAAACTCCGAGACTCCAGTTCTGACCAAACAGCTCAGGAAGCAAGGTGTTGGGGGACTGTCTCCATGGGGGTGTGGCAAGGAGGGTATGTGGAGTGTTAGTCTTTCCGGCATTCCTCATGCTATGGCCTTGTCCCTCAGCACATCAGCAAGGGCAGGCTTTTAGCATCCCCACTGGGATCTGCAGAGTCTCTAGCACGGTGGTGCAGTGACAAGTCTGTGGATGGTGTCAAGGAGGGGCGCCCTGGCAGGGCGGCTCCATGCCCTCAGCTGAGACCCAGGTGTCCCAGGTGGAGTTGAAAACCACTGCACTTTCGGGCCCCATTCCTGGTCTCCACATTTCTGCAGATGGCACCCCTGCATCTGTCCTTCAGAAACATACAGTGGCCAATTCACGCACAGGCCAGTTCTGAAGCACAAAGAGAGGCTGAGGGTTAACTTTTCTTGATTTAAAATGCCATTTTCTAGCCTTTGAACACCACTGCCAGTGGAAGCCTCCCCCTGATCTGCGCACCATAGTAGGGCTGGTGAAAGGCTAGGCCCTGCTTCACAGAGCAGTGCTGTGCCAGAACAGGGGCCACTGGAGGCTTGTTTGACATGGTCATAACGAATGCCAGGGGCTTCCACTGGCTAGACCAACACACCCACTAGCAACAGAGAGCTGGGAGGGAGCAGGTCTGATGAGGGTTCCTAGGGGGCATTCCCGACCGACCACTACACCCTCTGATTCACAGACACACAGGAGAGCGGGGCCTGATGGTGAGCCAGTTGAGATCTTCCTGGGCCTAGCCATTATGCCCACAGGTGTACTGTACACCCACAGGTGTACAGGAATACTGGGGCTTGGGGTGGACCAGAGCAGGTCACAACAGCTCATGGTCCTCAGAGAGCTGGCATTAAGGACAGGCCTAGAAGGAGACCTTGGGGTCTCCATGACTGAGTCACAACATCCACTGGTGCATTTGGGAGTTGGGTCAGGAGGCGTGGCCTGCGTTAGGCCCCAGAACCTGCAGGTGCACTGAAGAGCTGGGTAGGGAGGGGGACCAGTGGTGGTACTGAGGGGTCTCCCTACTAGGCCACAATGTCCAACAGCTTGTGTAATGCTGGGTCTGTGGGAGGACCTGGGGGATTCATTTGTTAAGATGTATTTTATTATTCTTTATTTGATAGGCAGATTTTACAGACAGAAAGCTCTTCCATCCACTGGTTCACTACCCATGTGGCCACAACAGCTGGAGCTGAGCCGATACAAATCCAGGAGCCAGCAACTTCTTTTGGGTCCCTCTTGGGAGAATAGGGGCCCAAGGATTTGGGCCACCCTCTGCTGCTTTCCCAGGCCACAAACAGGAGCTGGAAGGAAGTGGAGAAGCCAGGACACGAACCGGCACCCATATGAAATGCCGGCAGTTGCAAAGTGAGGATTTAGCCACTAGGCCTTCGACTGGGATTCTTAGGGATCTCCTGACTAGGCAGTAGCACCTGCCAGCCCACAAGCTGGGCAGGGTGTAGGCTGCTCCAAGTCGCGGTACCTACTGGCCTGTGAAAGAGCCAGGACATGGAGTGGGCCTGTCATGGGGTTTTGGGTCATCCTGACAGGCCAGTCCACCTGATCCTCAACCTTAAGGAATAGCACATTGAGGTATGGTCTGGCCCTGTCCACACGTTGCAGGACTGACTGTGTGCAGGAGTAGGCAACACTGGGATGTACATGAACAACAGGAGAGCTGGTCTTTCTGATTCAACAGAGGACCCTGGACATCTCACCAAATGATGGAAACAAAGCAGGTTGAAAAACACCACAGGCCAAGTGCTTCAGCAAGCACCTAAGGCCACCTAAGGCCATGGACACATGCGAAGTGGCATCTCACTCTGCTACAACCAATCCAACATCATCTAAGAACAATCAAGACTACTCAAGTAACATCCTCAGACATCCTTCCCCGCTTCAGGGTTTCTGGGATGACACTGGGGTCCGGCTGTGTCCTCTGGCGCTGATGGGATCTGGCAGCAAGGAGTTTTACAACATCCCTCCCCTTCCTGCCCGCCCCCTCCACTGTCACAGGAGGGAGGGTGGGGTCTGTCCTCTTACCCACCTCCTCCCCCACCCTCATTCCTCTCCATCCCACTCAGAGGCTTCAATGGGTGTGCAACTCCCATACCTATGTCACAAATATTTTAAAAAATTTAAAAGCGCTATTTTCCATTTTTAACGGTTTGTTGTTTTGCATCTGAACATTTTGCATTAGGTGCCTTTTCTTTCAAGAACTGTCTTTGACTTAATTATCTTGTACAGCCATGTTAGGAATCATTTCCAGGGCTCAGGGCTGTGTTCATGTCACAACTGCCCATTTCCCAGGTGGCCAAGGGGAGGGAGGCGGCCTCATGGAGCCCAGGCATCTGGAATTTGGTTGTCTTGGAAACCATACTGTTTTTCTGCTGTTTTCCCACTGGGTGACTGAGCTCAGGCGGGCCCCTCTGGGTTGAGAACATCCCTTCCCACTCTGATGTCCTCCTGTGTACAGAGGTGGAAGCTAAGCTGAGGTTGGTTTCCATGGCAACTGAAGCCTGGTCCTTGGGTTCCTGAATAGATAAACATGTACGGGCATAGAGGATGCAGGATGGGGTCCCGGAGCCTGGCATGGAACCACAACGGGAAGTGGAAGGGTGGCGACTTGCAATTGTCCATGCACACACGACATACATAGAGACAGAGCACTCACCAGTATGCCTGCTGCCCAGATGTGCAAGTGGCTGTGTCTGGCTGCAGCTTCAAGTACACATGGAGGATGCCGGAAATGTAGGCAGGACCAAGAACGCTCAAAGAGAGGGGAGATTCTTTACTGTCACAGAAAACAATTCCACACCTTCCTATTCATGCCTTTTTTCACATGGGCAGTACAGTAGAAAAGCAGCTTTACTGGAGGTATAATGGCCACGTCTTACTATTCATGTAGCTAAAGGATGCGATACAGCGATATAGAAAATTTACAGCTGTGCACCTGCCAGAGTCTGGCTTTGGAACAGTCTCTCCCTGCAAAAAGACCCTGGTACTCACCAGTGGTCCATCCCTAGGACTACCTGGAAGGCCAGGCAACTACCGATCTCTTTCCCATCTCTGAAGGTTTGCCTCCCATTGCCGTTCCTCTAATGTGCCTCTTGGCATGGCTAGGCATCTGACCTAGCAGGGTTAAGGACCGGGTGCTCCGCTCGCTTTCCTCACTGGCTGGCCGTCCTGCCCTGGCAGTCCTGACAGAGGCTAGCTGGGGCCCAGGCTGGCCTCCACTGTGGCCTTTGTGTGCCTGTTCCACCTGTGCAAACCCGGGCAGTCTGCTCACTGCTCTGGCCTTTGCCTGCCAATTTCTTGTGGTGAGAGGGCAAGTGACGAGTGGGGCGGGGAATGTGGACTCAAGGAGCTCACACGTGCAAGGCAGTGACCCCACACACCGGGAAGCCCAGGACATGTCAGAGACAGCACAGTGTCTTGCAGCCTGGCTATGAGTGCCAGGTAAGCCCATTTGCACTGCACCCCAGAGTTCCGGACATGACATCCCCCGGCAGTGCCCTGTGCCCTGCAGTTGGGAGCACTTCACCCTGGAGCTCTCAGCAGACACCCAAGTTCAGCATGTCGGAGAACTCACCTGTCCTCGGGCGCCTTGTGTCGGCTGGAGGCGCAGATGTTGGGAAGCCGCGCAGCTCAGGGACCCACCTAAAAACACACACTGACACAAAGCAGAATTATTTCAGAGGAATGGCGTGGCCACCCAGTGGGGACACATGGCAGGACTCTGTAGGGGAAGAAAAGCAAGAGGTCATCCCACCTCCTGAGACTCCAAGCTACCAGTCCAACGCCCAACACCTTCCTCAGAGCATCAAAGCTCTGCTTCTCGCGAAGCAGCCACGGCACTGCTGCTCCCGGCCGCCACTTCCATGTGCCAGGCTTCCAGGGTGGCCGTGTGGGCCTGGGCAGGTCCGCAGTGCCAGCCCGCAGGGTCTTCTAAAGGGAAGGGTGGATTCTGCCTCCCACCCCGCCATGGCAGGACGCTTCCCGGGCACTGCCTCACAGCTCAGCACGCCGGTCCCGCAGCTGGGCCTCAGAGCATGTCCGGACTGTGCGCCGACAGGTGCTGCCCTCCTCCTTGTTGCAAAATCCACTTGGCACAGACCCACTGACACCTGCTGAGGTCCGGTGGGGACTCCGTGGCAGTCTCAGGTCTAAGAAGACGCGAGCCGGCATTGACAGAGAAAGCTGCATTCTATTTATTTAGTATTGACTGTGACACAGGCCAACAGAAATTCCCACGAGGGCAAATACTGCTCGAAGGTTAAGGAGCAGGGAGAGGTTTGCTCACATTCAACTCATCCAAGTGTACACGACCACACAATGGGGGACCAGCAGACCAGCAAGTTCAATTACACTTCCCTTCCTGTGCCTTGCTTAGCTCCAGATCTTGAACGTGCACCTCAGCATAACACTGCACGGCAACAGATCTAGCGGTGCTCCCGGCAGGCAGCGGATAACACAGCACAGCGCAGGCACATCAACAAGGCAGTCACACTACCCAGACACCTTCTGCCTGGGTGACAAAGGAGGCAGGGCAGACAGAGACCGCGAGCAGGAATGTGACACATGCATCATGGGGGTCAGAACCCAGGAGGCGGGGCCGCCGGCACGCAGTGCCCTTCACTAACACCTCAGGGCGTCCACAAATGACAGGCCCGACACGGCCCTTTGCCGGGACTAGATCTCAGCACATGCTCGTGGGATTTCCAGACCAAACACAGGTCTTGGTCCCCTCCCATGGCAGCCCCAAATCGCTTGGTCCCCCGTGGGACCCACACCCAGGAATGGCAGGACAGCATCCCTGCCTGGATTCCTGCAGGTGCCCGCCCTGGGAGCCTCACTTCTCATCCAACCACTGCTTCAGCAGCCTGTGGAACATTCTCTTGCTTTCCTGATGCCTCTCGAGCTGGCATTTCTCCTCTTGCTCCAGCTGCTGCTGCTGGAGGGCCCCTTGGGGCAGGTGGCCAGGCTGGCTGCTCCCCAGGCTGAGGCTCAAGCCACTGAGGCCCTGCACCAGGGTCTCCCACGAGGCCCCGCTCCTCTCCCTGCACAGCCCAGACACACTCGTGTCATTGTTCTGGCAGTACCGACATTCGCAGCGGAATCGATTCTGAGCTCTGTCACCTGACGGAGAGACTCTGTTCTCCCTAGCGACCGGGTAAGGTGCCATGTGGTCACGGTGCCTGCGTCTCAGGTGCCCCAGGAATGCCGTCTTCCTCTGGGAGACTGGCAGCCTGTCCCACTGCCTCTGCGGGGGGGTCTTGCCCTCCCTGTACTGCTGCTGGAGCAGCCCCTCTGGGAGCGGCGCAGGGAGGCCGGGCCCGGCTCTGGGGAGCAGCTTCCCCAGGCCCCTCACGAGCTGCTCTGTGGAGGGGGGCTGACAGGCGGCACGGCCGTCCCCTGAAGTCTCTGCCGTGGATGTCTGGGTGGCGTCCGCAGCCAGCGCCGGGCTCTGTTTCGGGGGTGGATCCATGGGGGTCTAGTCCAGGCTGGAAGCTCCACCCGGCCCGTGAACAGACAGGGAGTCAAGCTGGAGGATCTCAAGCAGCTGGAAGGTAGCAGGGCAGTAGTGTGGCCAGAAGCAAGACTGCAGCAAAGGTTGGCGAAGGAGAAAGAAAACCACAGTCAGTCATCTCACGGGATGCTTCTGTTCCGGCACTTTCTATTTCACAAGAATAACACCCACTTCCTAGGCTGCTCCTGACCACTCCGGACCGAGCATCTCAAGAGCTCGGTCATTTCCTAAATGCTTCAGAGCTGGCACCGATGACCGCATCCAGGTGCCCAGGCCCCTCAAACGATGCACTCACTGACAAAGACTCCCTGCTGATTTTCCTAACCCGGTCTCAGGCACAATCTGAAGGGGTCATGTGTAACTAGGATGTTCCACACGCTTGCAGAAAGCCTATCTCCCACAAGCGGCAGGCATTTGCGCCTGGGACTTGGAAGCTGTCACCCACGGGCTTTGTGGCCTGTGAAAACAGTTACTTATGGCTGGGGAAATGGTCTCCAAACTACCTCACGTGTAAATGAGGATTTGCTTTACTACAACTTGCAGCAACAAAGGGATTACAAATGAGAAATAGAGAATCCCAATGAATGCTAAAGCTGGTTCTTTGAAATGATCAATACACCCGATACAGCTGTGACTCAGCACTGAAGCTTGTTGTCAGAAGTGACTGTGGCAGCTCAGATAGGCCCGAGCGTGGAAGGTGGAACAAGACAGTCTACCACCTTCGGACAGCAGGGCATGCAAGGCAGGAAGAAGCAAGGCAAGATGGCGGGCAGGGTCCAGCCATGTGGCACAGCCTGGCTGGGAGTCTGGGTTTCCCAGGTGGGCAGAGAAGTCCACAGGAGATGGGTGCTCGACTGTCTCCCTGCGGCCCTCACCTCCTGGGTGCCACAGAAAGTAAGAGTATTTGGAGGAATGAAGGTAATTTGGAGGAGGAAGGTGTTGTTTCTTACGCAGAGAGCTGGCTGGGGCCACAGGCTGGCCCCACCTCCTCCTGGGCTTGCAGCAAAATGTTAGCAGTCTGACAGACTGCTTCCTGGCAGGAGACGGCCCTGGACCACTTCCACAGGGCACAGTGAGCACATGAGGGAAACAGCCCCATCTGGCTCTTTCTTTCCAGCTCCACGAGCTTCCTGGCATTCATGGGCCTTCAGCAGTCCCACTGCAAGGGTCCACCCTAGAGGACCCAGGAGCTTACTTCACACGAAAACTTCCAGGAGAGATAGCCTGAACCCTATTCAGGAGTGTCCGGACCAGAGACAACACCACCGTCCCACTGTGGATCAACAGATCACACACAATCTGTGGTTTGCGGACAACGGAAGACAGCGCAACATTACCCCAGAACAGGCCCCTGGCAGACAGGAGAGATGCACCCTGGATGTCAGACCCGGTGAGCAGAGTGGCCCACTGAGGAGGCGATGAGCTGGGAGACCTGCCCACCTGCCAGCGCAGTCACACAGAGGGAATGCTTTCCCCAGCTAACTGGAGGGGAGAGAAGGGCTCTTGCACAGGCGCAGCCCAGGGAGTTGCTCAGGGCGAAGGTCTCTCTAATCACCATCTGGGCCCTCTGTAAGCAAGTCCCCACTCAGCACTTCAGTCCTGCAGAATCTGGCTTTCCCCATACTGCACAGAGGAAATTCCTGCATGCAGAGGGTGCAGGTGACCCTGCGGTCGCACAGACAGAAAGCATGAAGATTCTCTCCCAGGCAAGCCAGGCTCTAGGCGCACACACTGCAGTGTTAGATGCTCAGCCTTCCCCAAAGTCTGAGGGATCCCGTTCAGACAGGAAGGTCTGGGAGCTGGCCAGTGCTGGTGCTGAGAGCAGGAAACGGACACAGGCAGTACTGACGAGCCTTTATCAGGGCCAGGCTCTGGTCTCTGCACCACCAATGCTGCCTACAGGCTCAGAGCTCTCACTGGCACGCACTCCAGGGTGGGCACCGCGAGCATCAATAGCTAAGGCCGTCCAGGCAAACGAAGTGGGGGCTGAGCACCATCAAGGGCCTTGCATGTACTTTGGTACTGAAACCAGTGACATACTACTTCCTACAGCTTTTCAAAAAGTTGTAAAATATCCCCAGAACGTGAACTTAGTGCAGTTGAAACAGTGGAAACACTGAATGATGGCCAGAAACTGTGCTTCCGAGCTGAGTACAGCGCCAGTGCAGAAGCAGGCCCTGTGCCACCCCACCAATCCCTCGCAGGTTAGCCAGAGTTGGACCTGCACCTGCCTCCCAAGGGTGCTGTGTGTGGGAGGGCTCCCCTGAAAGCCCCACCCTCCTGGGTGCAGAACAGAGCAGAGATGCTTCCGGAGCATCACTACAAAACATCCTGGCAGGCCGTGACCCTCGGGACACCCACCTGAGCGTGGAAAGAAGAAAATGGGGAGATGGGAAATGGTGCTTATATGAGGGCCATCTGTGCAGGTGGTCTTGGAGAGAGAGCGCGCAGAAGCAAAAGGAGAAGTGGGGGAAGGAACGGAAGAGGAGGGCTAATCAAAGCAACAGCAGCAGGAGGAGGAGACCATCTCCTGCTGGGGGTTCACTGCTCACGGGGACTAGGCCCAGGTCACCGATCCCTGCGCTAACCCCCTGTGTGCTTCTGATGTTGGCCCCCAGGATGTCCACGGCAGCACCGGGATGTCCCCTGAATGCGTGGCTCTGTGTGCCCTCTAAGCCCTCTAAGCCTTGCTCAGTGTTCCTCTACTGAACACGGAGGAAGGAGGAATCAGAGGAACTGACAGGCGGCCCCAGCATGGGTGAAAGGGGATAAACCAGACACCAGACAACGCAGGCTCTGGCACACAGAACAGGGGACAGAAGATACAACGTTCCCCACACCTTGCTGGCTCACACTTTGCGCAGGTCCTGCCTCATCCCTCCTTCCTCCTTTACCAGCTGAGAACCAGCTGGTGTGATGACAGCCAGACACCACCAATGAAGGGCAAACTGGGCTGCACCGCTTGATGTGGTACTGACAGGGTCAGGATGAAGAGAGTTGAAAACCTTCGTCGAGCTCTGCTGCTGTACGTGCTTATGCTCAGGGAATTCTTTTCAACACACAGAACGCAAGAGGTGGGATGGCACACTGCCCTGCGCCTGTGGCAGTGCAAGCACCAGCACTCCTAGGAGTCCCCCTGTCTGGGCACCTGCTGAACACCAGGCTCTCCAGGAGCTGTGCTTGCCCACAGGTTTTGCCCACCTGCCTTTTCCTGTGTGGTAATCGGCCTCCAAGGGTTCACAGTGGGGCCCAGGTGCCAGACTGAATAGGACGCCAGCCACCCCAGGTCACTGGCCAGGGCCGGTGGAAGTGTGTGGGTGCTGGGGACACAGAGGAGCACCCCGCAGCCCGGGTGGTAGGGCATGGCCTCTTCACAAGGTGTGTGGTCATCCGCACCTGCAGAGCAGAGGACTGGGGAGCAGAGAGCCTCAGCAGCTCCCTCTGGCTGCACAGCTCAGCAGTGCAGGAGACCGGCTCTCACTTGGGCACCCTGAAATAAAAAAAGGCGCGGTTTGCTTCACTGCAGTGACCTCTGCCTTTCACACTGTTCCCCGACGTCACCCACATCCACCTTGGGTTCTCACCCCTTGGGTCTCCTTCCCTTCATATTCTCAGCATGGGACAAACGCAGGGCACTTTCCACTGTGGTAAGCCGACTTCTGAGAACACGAGGTTCCTTGCAGCAGGATTGTCCAGCCCCAACCCAACATCACGTCATGTTCACCAGTGCACTGCACCCTCCTGCTGGGTAAAGGATGCGATCACAGCTTAACAGCCCTTCCCCCAGCTCAGCTTCCCTTTAAGGGTCATCCACACTGAAGTGGAAACAGCAAAGCGAATGCTGCCCCACACACCTTGTTCACCAAAAAGCAAGCAAACGGCAAGACACTGGCCGTAAACGTCACGCCCCTTGCACAGAGAGCTGCTGAACTCGGGTTTCTTAACACACCCACACCCTCCTTCCCCCTCTCTCCTTCGGCTGCAACCACAAGGGCTCAGTCAAGCCAGGCCACTGAGTTTTCCTGTTTCAACAAAGAATCGATGAGGGCCACACACATGCACGAGAGTACACACCCATGGAGCTGGTACTGCAGGGACAGAGTATAGGACACCAAAACGGAGATTCCGCCCCCAAATGGCTGACCCCTCCAGGTGGACTGCCCTCAAACCAGAGAAGGGGGTGCCTTCTTGCCTACATGCTGTCCCCAGGTTCCACCAAGAACACTGTAAGAAACTGCATTGTAATACAGCTAACACAGCCCTCTGAACCCAGACCTGCTGTCACCTGAGGGCGGGCGCATCTCTCTAAGGCTCTCTCCCCTGGAGGCTTCCCCACTGGAAGTGCGGTTTGCCTTGCAATCCCAGCAGGGGCTCTGACTTAGAAGGGGAGTGGGAGCCCAGGCAACAGGAGTCTGCACCTGTTGCTCACTGCTTCCCGCCAGTTCCCTCCCTGTGCTCAGCACTGCCCGGGGATGTTTCAGGGCCGCTAGTAGGTTAACCAGGGCCAGCCCCGGCTAGAGGCAGATGCGCCGCGAGGGCACTGTCCAAGCGCCATTCCGCCTTGCAGCAGGTGGGCGCCCCGGAAAGGCGGTCACTGTGGCCTTGGAACGCTCCTTCTCCGGGGGCCCTCGGAGGCTCCCTGGGCCCCGACACCAGGGCACACCTGCCTGTTCTAGAAGATTCTCGCTGTCTGCGTGTCTTGGGTTGGCATGCGGTCTGGGCCTCCGCGCGTCTCTCCCACCCGCTCCTGTCTCTCCCTCTCCCTCTGGCTCTCCCAGTCTCGGCCGCGCGTCTCCCCGGGCTCCATCTCTGCGGCGCTCAGGCTCCCCTGTCTCTCTCCGTCCCTCTCCCCCCGCCCCTTCTCTCTCGGTCCCTCGGCCTCCAACGGCCTCCGTCTCCCTCGCGCCCACGCTCTCTGGGCCTCCGGCTCGGGCTCTCTCACGCGCGTTTCCTCAGGAGCAGCTCCGCCGTCCGCCCCGGCGCCGCCGCCTCCTCGGCGCTGGGGACGCAGCGCGGCGCGGGGCGCGGGAGGGTTAAGGACACCGAGACGAGCCCTCCGCCGCCCGCTAGAGAGGCCGCACCGTGCAGGGGCGTCCGCGGGTCGCTGCGTCAGAGCGCCGCGACGCCCCGGCCCGAGTGGACGTTCCGGGGGGGGGGGCGTGCGCGCTCGAGGACGCGCTCGGGGTCGGCGCTGTGCCGGGGGGCGCGCTCGGGGCCTGGCCTGACAGGTGCGACCTTGTGGTCCTCAAGGGCCGCACGGATGGACGGCGAGGAGCTTATTGCGCAGGCGACAGGAGCGCAAAAGGAGTTGAGCAATGGACATTATGCAGACTCCCGATTGGCGACACGCATTCCCACCTCAGATCAGAGTGTCTGGGCGGGGTGGTTTGCCTTTTTTTTTTTTTTTTCATTCCCAGGCGAGTGGGGGGGGGGGTGAGGATGAATTGAGCTGGCCATCTTAGAGTGGATTGGAGGGCTCTAATTAGGAGAGGTCGCAGTCAGTTGAACTTGTCTCCAATTTCACGGGAAAACTTGGGGGGTGAGTGAAGGAGTGGTGAGGCAGAGCAGAGTAGGAGGGACCTGCAGCCCTGAGCCTGTGGGAGTCCCGAGTGAGGGTGGACAGTGC